CGTCTAAAGTACCGATATGTCTACGGCATCGGCGTTTCTGCACGAGCTGGCGAGCATACCGGAGAAATTTGGGATGCGCTTGTCAAGAATGTAAGTTCTGTTTATCAAAAATATATTTGGATTTTGCGAAGATTATATTCTCACATAACAATAAATATTAATGAAATACAGGATTTGGATTCTAAAGAAGTCCTTGCAATGTGGGCAGAAGAAGGTTGTTATCCATCGGAACCTGTTTTCGTGGCACGCCCAGGTCACGAAAATGATGAAGATGATGGTGTACTATTAAGCGTTGTATTCGATGGTTTAAACATTAAAAGTTTCTTTTTGATACTTGACGCAAAGACGTTGAATGAATTGGCTAGAGCTGATTTGCCACACATTGTACCTATATCTTTCGGCCATGGCGAATTTAAAGAATTCCGTAAAGAATAATTAATTCCATGATTACATATATATATATATATAATCTTGGTTTGACTCCCTACTAACTAATGATCATAAAAGCGTATTTCTAATAAGGTTAAAAGTAGCTAATTTATTAATAATTTGTTTGTTTATCCATAAACATTCTTCTTTTAAAATCCTGTGTGTACAGTATAATTCTTGTTTCGCAAAGTTTTTTATCAGGAAAATTATCTTATCTTTACTGTAAAATTGTAGGATTTTTGTCATTAATACGCGGTATTTCTTCACGTCACTGTACCATAGAAGTACCGTGTTTTCTTTGACTTTAAGATGCACGCTCATGTGTGTGTTGCACTTACCTTCAAAGATCTTCCTTTTTTCGTGCTCGAAGATGTAAATCAAAGATTTTTTATGCATTGAAACCAATAAACTTTGAATAAATTAAAGTCATCTGTCATTCTTTTAATTGAAACTCCCGAGGGTGGTTTATTAATCTTTTTAAGGACCAGTAACTACTGTAAAAGAAAAAATGGGTAATTTTACAATCACACCAACAAAATTTCTACAGAACTATTGTTTTCTTATAATCTTTATATTGCCCATGTAATATATCCGCGAATATTTGGAAAGTCCGTATTCATGCATGATCTGAATTACAATTAAATTCCGCGAGGAAAAACGTAAATGATTAAAATCAAATTACAAGAAGTACACACGCTTATTTGACTTTAAGACATCATCACATCGCGGGCAAAGATTATTCTTCTCGATCGAAGAGTAATTCCAACATCTAGGACATTTGTGCAAATCTGCCTCCCTCACAACAATCTTGACAGATCCGTTAAAATTATTTTCGGTAATGTTTATGTTGTCCGAAAATTGAACTTTTCTTCCTGATGAGTCGTCAATTGATTGTGAACCATTTTTATTTAGCGTAGTGCTGGATGTGATGAAGATAGATTTCAAATCTGTTTCGACAAATATACAGTAAAAGCAAAGAAACACAATTTGAATTGAATATCAATTACATATACCCAACAATTCTTTATTTGAGGCATACCGTGTTTTTGAAGTAAGTCATACAATGCCGCATTCACGTACAAATCGACACTTGCTTCCAATGAACTCTTGATTAATCTATAAAAGTACCGACGTTAATTTTCATTAGAATCCAAAGTAAACTTTTTAAGATCGTTTTTTTCATACTTTTCGCTCCTTGCCACTTCCAGTAATTGGTTGACTTTGGACCTTACATTCTTTAATATAGTCCACTCTATAAAAAGTGAAGGATCATTCCATTGCTCATTCTAAAATCATCAATAATCAGGCAATTATTATATGAACAAATGAATTCAGACAACATAGATGTACAAAATGAGCTCGTGACATACTAGATCATACCACCCTAGTTTAAATACACTATCATGTTTTTCTGGCTCAACGATCTTGTAATTTTCGT